TCCCTCCCCTCTGCACTCTGGGGGTGCCTCACCACCAGCATCCCTCCCCTCTGCACTCTGGGGGTGCCTCACCACCAACATCCCTCCCCTCTGCACTCTGGGGGTGCCTCACCACCAACTTCCCTCCCTTCTGCTCCCTGAGGGTGCCTCACCACCAGCATCCCTCCCCTCTGCATTCTGGGGGTGCCTCACCACCAGCATCCCTCCCCTCTGCATTTTGGGGGTGCCTCACCACCAGCATCCCTCCCCTCTGCACTCTGGGGGTGCCTCACCACCAGCATCCCTCCCCTCTGCACTCTGGGGGTGCCACACCACCAGCATCCCTCCCCTCTGCTCCCCATGGGTGCCTCACCACCACAGGTCCCTTCTCCTCCCTCTCCCCCAGCAGCACAGTCACTTCCCAGCTCCATTTCCCTGCTTTTCCCAGCTCCATGTCCCCGCTTTTCCCAGCTCCATTTCCCTGCTTTTCCCAGCTCCATGTCCCTCCTTTTCCCATCTCCATGTCCCTGCTTTTCCCAGCTCCATGTCCCTCCTTTTCCCATCTCCATTTCCCTGCTTTTCCCAGCTCCATGTCCCTGCTTTTCCCAGCTCCATGTCCCTCCTTTTCCCAGCTCCATGTCCCTCCTTTTCCCATCTCCATGTCCCTGCTTTTCCCAGCTCCGTGTCCCTGCTTTTCCCAGCTCCATTTCCCTGTTTTCCCCAGCTCCATGTCCCTGCTTTTCCCAATCCATGATGTGTTCCCAAAACAGCTGCTGTTTGTAAAGTCAGGGCTCAGCTTTGCTCAGCCTCCCGTGGGCATGACCCACGTGCAGCTGCGGGATCGGGGCACCCAGCAGGGCTCACGCAGGGCACAGGTGCCCTGTGAGTTTGGTGGCTTTCTCTGATGGAGCTGCTGCCATCCTCAGCTGGGCTCGTGTGAGGCATTTGGCTCTGTCCCACGGAATATCCAGCCTAAACTGGGCTTGAAGGGTGGAGCAGTGGGTCAGGAATTGACTGGGTGGATGTTCTGGTCACAGCTCAGTGGCCAAGTGCACAGCAGTGCCAAGTGGTGTCCTCAGAGCTGGTCTGGGGACATTTGAGGGTGACAAGGACAGTGGGATTGGGTGCACTCTGTCAACTCTGTGTCCTCTCATTGCAACCCAAACCATTCCAGGATTCCTGGAAAGGTCAGGGCTGTCCTGGGGAAATGGAGTTTCCCTCAGAGCTGAGCAAGCCCAGCCCGGGGTTCTCCTTTGCAGCTCCTGGTGCATTCCAGCACAGGCTGGTTTGGGCTGTTGCCATTTGGATGGGGATGAGCCGAGCCTTTCTGACAGGTTTAAAATCAGCTGGGGCTGGAGGGGGTGTGTGACAGGAGGGCGGAGGCACCAGCACTTAAACCCATGGAAAAGGAGGGAAGATTTTTTACTGCTCAGACATCCCAACAATCCAAATAACACTTTGGGTTGAGATCCTTTTACAGTTCCCCGTAGAGAATCTGTGAGTTGAGTGGTTCTGACGGGATAATTGGAATTATTCTTGGGAAGAGAAGTCCTGCTGGAGTGGGAAGTGTTGCTGCCTTAACCCTGGCCCACGTGGACAGCTGCCCCTATGGCACGGTGTACCTGTCACCGCCGTCGGACACGAGCTGGAGGAGGTGGGTGCCACTCCCGGGGCAGTTCTCTGAGCCTGCAGCAGCTTGCAGCTCTGCCTTTCCAAAGTCACCAACTCAGCTTGCAGTTCAGCACCGCTCCTGTTAGATGAGCTTTAAAATCCAGGTGGCTGCAAGGGATACTTTGATGTAATGGTACCTTTGGAAAGGTAAATCCTTAATCTGTAAAAATCCTCAAAAAGCTGTAAAAATCCAGTGTTCCCAGGCACAGCCCAAAACTTGGATGTTTCTCTGGGTGCAGAAACTGGGCTGGGCATGTTCCAGAGGGAAGGAACACGGAGTTACACTTTGAGGGTGGCCACACTCACAAACTTCATCCTGAGCTGTGCTGCCCATGGAAATTCCCATCTCCACAACATCCTGAACCATTCCTTTTCCTCCTCCCAGCCAGGAATGTTTGTTTTAACCACCACAATAACCAAAGTATGGCTAAACAGCTTAAACTGGCATTATTTGATCTTGTTTAATCTGAACAAAGCAGATAAAACTCTGCTCTAACAAGGACAAACAATTTATCCTGTGTTCCTCTCAATCCCATTATTGAAACAATCGCTCTTCAAACTTGAACTAATTGTTCTGCAAATTGATTGTTTCACAAGGAAATTCTGCCTGGTTGCTGCCATATAGAGAGCTTTGGGTTTTAATACACAATATTGAGGTTTTACCGAATTGTTGTTTTTATCTGAGAGGAAAATTCTTTTATTGAGTGAAGCTGACAATAAAAATATTGTGGGTTTTGCTTTCTCTCAGGACAAACTCTGATTCTGCCTTGCACCAGAGCACCATGACTCCAGCTCAGCAGGAATCCTTTTCAGGAGGGTCGCAGGACATGCAGCAGAAAAGAGGTGAGCAGAAAAAGAAAAAGATAAAAAGATTTATAAGAATTTTATAAGAATGATAAGATTTTATAAGAATGGTTTGGGCTCCAAACCATATTTTTTTGGGGGGTTTTTTATAAAATTCAGGAGTGCTGGCACTTCCTGTGGCACAGCACTTGGGTCACATTCACCCTCCTGGGTGCTGAAATCCAGGGAGAAATGCCACAAAACGAAGGGAGAGGTTTTTCCTGAGCCCCGGAATTTGTCATTCCTGCCCTGGGACTCCGGTGCCGAGTTCTGAGCTCTCCTGGAGCTCCTGGAGCAGCAGGAATTCCCAAAATCCCAGTCAGGGACACACAGGGAAGGAGCAGAGGCTTCACCTCCGATTTATGCCTGGGGGATCCCCAGGGAGGAGGCAAATTCCAGAGGATCCCAGAACAATTCCAAAGGATCCCAGGACAATTCCAGAAGATCCCAGGAAAATTCCAGAGGATCCCACAACAATTCCAAAGGGTCCCAAAACAATTCCAGAGGATCCCAGAACCATTCCAAAGCATCCCAGAACGATTCCAGGCTGGATCCCAGGACAGTTCCAGAGGATTCCAGAACAATTCCAGAGGATCCCAGAATTCCAAAGGATCCCAGAAGAATTCCAGGCTGGATCCCAGGATAGTTCCAGGCTGGATTCCAGAACAATTCCAGAGAATCCCAGAACAATTCCAGAGGACCCCAGAACAATTCCAGGCTGGATCCCAGAACAATTCCAGGCTGGATTCCAGAACAATTCCAAAGTATCCCAGAACAATTCCAGAGGATCCCAGAATAATTCCAGGCTGGATCCCAGGACAGTTCCAGAGGATTCCAGAACAATTCCAGAGGATCCCAGAAGAATTCCAGGCTGGATCCCAGGACAGTTCCAGGCTGGATTCCAGAACAATTCCAAAGGATCCCAGAAGAATTCCAGGCTGGAGCAGCTCTGGCACCCTCAGTTCTGGTGCCCTCTGCTGGGCCCTGCTCCAGCTCCAGCTCAGGAAAATCGGGAATTGCTCATCCCAAAGGCCTTTCCCAGCCCTCAAACGCCCCGATCCTAAAGCAAATTCCCGAATTTCATCCTTCCACACGCACCCAGCAAACACCGAAATCCTGCGGAATTCCAGGAATCGGGCAAATCCTCAGCAAGGATGGAATTTCCTTTGCTTTGGAATTTTCTGGGAAGGATCTAGGTACAAAACAAAACCCTCTGAGGGCCAGAAATAAAAACATCAAAATATCTTCTTTATGGAATTCCTGGTTAAAAACATTTTAAAAAGCATAAAAAAAAAACTTCTTAATGAAATATTAGTGTTAAAAACATTTTTAAAATATCAAAAATATATTCTTTATGGAATTCCGTGTTAAATACAGTTTTAAAAGCTCAAAAATATCTCCTTTATGGAATTCCTTATTAAAAACATTTCAAAAAGTTTAGAAGTTTTTCTTCATGAATTTTTTTAATTAAATACATTTTAAAAAGCTCAGAAATACCTTTTGTATGGAATTCCTTGTTAAATACATTTTATAAAGTTCAAAAATACCTTTTGTATGGAATTCCCTTGTTAAATACATTTTTATAAAGCTCAAAAATACCTTTTGTATGGAATTCCTTGTTAAATACATTTTAAAAAGCTAAAAAACATATTCTTTATGGAATTCCTTGTTAAATACATTTTCAAAAGCTCAAAAATATATTCTTTATAGAATTCCTTGTGAATTGAAACTTTGTAAGATTTTCCCATAGGTTCAACTTCCAAGGAGCTGAAGATTATTGATTATTTTAATGATTTTGATTATTTTTATTAATTTTAAAAAATTATTCTAAATTTATTTTGATGATTAATCTTTTATTTTTTTTTTTAGTTTTATTGCTGACTGTCCCTGGAATGGAAGAAACCACCTCTGATGCAGACAAAAACCTCTCGAAGCAAGGCTGGGACACTAAAAAGGTGGGAATTGCACATTTCAAAGGCTGGAAATGTTATTTTTCCGGACAGATTTCAGATAAATTAATGATTAATTAATAACATACGTGAGGCTGGAGATGAAATGATGTGTTTAAACAAAAAAAAAATAAACATTAGAGCAGAAGGGTGTGAACACAGCCTTGCTTGTATGAGAGGAAACTCCTGAAATTTCAAATTTGTTGGGTCAATAAAGCAAAAATAAAAAAGATAAATATATTTTAAGAGATAAAAATAATAAATATCTTCTAAGGGCTGCCAGATCTGACATGGAAATGCTGAAATTAAATGGATAAATTGAAATATCCCTGAGGCAATACCCTCCAGCAGCATCTTTATTTTGAAATATTTCTTTTTTTATTTCAGGCTGGGTCGTCGAGACCTAAATCCTGTGAAGTTCCAGGAATCAAGTGAGTCCTCAGCAATTTTAATTTAAAATCACCAAAATCTCTAAGAAAAACCAGGGATGGAATTTCCTGTTGCTTTGGAATTTCCTGGGAAGGTTCTGGGTGCACAACAAGACCCTCTGAGGGCCAGAAAAAAAAATATCAATATAAAAAAAGGTATTAAAATATGTTAAAATAGAAAAAAATATTATAAAATATGTGAAAAATAT